CCCCCAGCCCTGGGTTCCTGGTATCCTGGCAAGTGAGCGACTCTGGCTTCTGTCAGCCTTCTACCACCTTTTACCCTTTGCACACTCGCCCACAGCCCTCCATCTCCATAGACCCCTGGTAGAGTACTGGGAACTTGACCTAACAAGTGTCAAGCACAACACCAGATTGTGGCTGGTCAAGGTTCCTAAATATTTGTCACAGCAATGTGCTAAAGCCCCTGGAAGAGGTGAAGTTGGGAAATTGCGGATTGCCAAGAATCAAGGAAGGACTGAGGTGTTATTTACTTTGAATGAGGATCTTGCAAATATTCATGATGTTGGCAGAAAACCAGCTTCAGTCAATGCTTCTGGAGAACACCATTTGTCTTGCAAAATGCTGGAGGACAGACATTAACAGTATTTATTGAAGGCTCACCAGATAAACTCATTGGCAGGAACAGAGGTACAAAGAGCTGAATGTCAACCTGCTGCCAGTGAAACTATATGGGATTAAAGAAACTACAGATAGAAGAATCTTCCAAACCTKTAAGGTTATCACATCAACTGGAGAAAGTTGTAACAACAAATGACAAATCTGTTTCTATTGTCAATATAATATTGAATATGAAAGGAAAAAGAAGATGGAAAGTGAGCTTGGGTGATAAGCAACATATACTAGTCATGCTGTTTTCAGTCTTTGAGAAACATCAGTATTATAATCTTAAGGACTTGGTGGATATCACAAAACCACCCGTGGGATACCTAAAGGACATCTTGAAAGAAAATGGAATTCAGAATGTAAAAGGGATCCACAAAAACACACAGGAGCTGAAGCCAGAGTACAGGCATTATCAGGGAGAAGAGAAGAGTGATGGAGAGGCCTTAAGCCAGGAGGCAGACGGAACAGCCTGAGGGTGATGCGACCCAGCACTGACACGGGGAAGCTTGAGGAGTAAAACGACTGGTCCTTTAGTTTCTTTCAGTAAAATTTTTAACTCTATAATTCCATAAAGTTTCTTAAGTGTTTTTGAGAAAGGACAAGTTTATTAATAGACTTAACTTGTATTAAGCTTGTAAGTTCATGTTGGGGATAGGGGTTAGAGATTAAAAGGGTTTTTCATTTTAAGTATTAACTTTTAAAATGTTAAGATCAGGAAATGTTTGCTGAGCGAAGACTCTGTCTTTGCTACCTCTCTGAGGAGCACGGATCCAAGGTAAATGATATAGTAAGGGGAAAAAAAAAAAAAGGCCAACTACAGAAATCATTAAAAGGAATAAAAAGCCAAACTTTCTTTTCCTGAAATTTGTAAAAAATCAAGTTGCTTTTAAAAAAAAGATGATCATATTTCCTTAATAAAAGAACATTTCAAAAAAAATAATCATCACCCAGTTTCTTAATCAACTCATTGCCAATATTGTATCATCCCTACCTCAACCCACCCCTTTTCCTAATGTTTTCAACCAAATATCATGTTTTATGATTTTATCCATAATAAACATATTAATGTGTTATATATACACACATAAATATTTAAAACCAATTCCTAAAGATAGAGACTTTTAAAAATACAACCTCAATGCTATTATCGTAACAAAAATTTTAACAATTTCTTAATATCACTAAAGGCCCGGTCAGTGTTGAAATACTCAATTTTTCATTAAAATACAATTAAAAAGTTTTTATAGTTTAAAAAAGCATGATTCCAATAAGGTTCCCACAGTGTGATTAGTTCTTTAGTGTATTCTGTCTTTTTCTCTCTCTTTCTTTTTTTCTTTTATCTCTTCTTTCCCTTTTTGTCCTTTACAATTTGTGGAAGAAACTGGGTCATTTTCCTGTAGAATTTCCTACAGTCAGAATTTGTCTGGTTTTGTCACCATATTGTAGTTTAACATATTTCTYCGCACTTGATATTTTCCACAAGTTGGAAGTCAGATGAGATCCATGTTTGATTTTGAAAGAGGGAGACGTGTCAAGGGTGGTTCTGTGTTGTTCCATGAGCAGGACACATAATATCTGGTTAGGGCACATTTTTTGGTGAAATTAGCAGCTATTTCTCTCTAATATCTAGGTCTATTTATTAAAKCTGAAATAAAAATCAAGTCATAGGTGTCAGTGTTAACAGAGTTCTAGGCCAGAAGCCTGATTCTAGGCATCTAACAAAWCAGGTCTGGCCACTCACCCCAAAAAACAAACAGAAAAGGCAATGGTGAGACTGGTGTGATTCTACATCATGTACAACCAGAAAAATGAGAAGTTATGCTCCATTTTTGTGTGATGTGTGAAAATGCATTCTACTGTCATGTATAACTAATTAGGTCAACAACAACAAAAAGATAGTGGTGAACAGCATGAGAGGAACTTTAATCAGCGGGTGACACTGGAAAGACAAGGGGATCCATGTCCTKGACATGCCTTCAAGGGTTAAATGACCCTGAGGTTTTATGGAAAGGRAACTGAGGCGAAGAGTTTGGGGGTCTGTCTAGCTGGGGGCTTTTCACAGCAGCCAAAGCAGGTGATCTTGATCAGGTGTGGTCTGTCCRTCATTATCTCAGGATTTGTCAGCCAGGGCCTTTTCCCTGATAAGAAAGTTACTGTTCTGGAAGTTACTTTAATTCATCACATGATGTTTATTGGATCAGACCTTGTTCCTGGAATCCAAGGTGACTTGGAACAAAGGAGATGCAAAATGGAGGTAGAGATGCTGAATCTTTAATCCTGTTTGTAGCCACCCTGCAAACATTTCATGCAAAAGTGAAGAATCTTAAATCCTTGTTAGATGGGCAGGGGTATGGAGAGGGTGGGAGGAAGAAGAATTGTAACTGGTCCCCTTGCCAAGGGACCCTATTTCAATCCCACATGACTGGATTTGGCTGCCTGCCTATCTGCATAAGAAATAAACAAAAGATGGAAAAAGGAAAAGGGAACTTTATGCAGTTGATCAAACTGGGAGAAGCAGCTATCCTCTCTTTTCTGGTCCCACAGAAACAGCTATAATTTATGAAAACAAAAACCAGGCATATACATATATAGATTTAGTTGGCCTGAGGAGGGACAGAATGGGCCAACAGGCAGGAATTACACTCAGGGGATGTAGTTAGCCTGTGCTAGACAGGCCAGGGCAGGGGGCAATCTCTGTTCTTCACCTCTTTGGCGCTCTAATGAGTGGGGGATTGTACCTCTTCAGCTTTTCTTCTTAGCATGAAAATATTGCTCTTAATTCAGGGGGGGGGGCAAATTTATCCTGTTTCAGAAACAGTTGAAACTCCAGGATGATCTGCTCAGAGTGAGACTAGTGAAGATGGACCACATCCAGGGCTTTTCAATCTCTCCATTGCCTCCCTGGAATTCTGGGGCGGGGGGCRTTGGACAGTGACATTATGATTTAGTCACTGTAATACTTTATTCCCTAAAGTAATAAAAGTGCTACCAGAAACTCAAGTAAATCCTCTGCAAACAAAAACAACAAATGTCATTCCATGGCTTTTGATAAGTACAATTCATTTTGGGTTGGGGTGGGGAGAATATTGGTTAAATCTTTTTATTTCCACTGGAATTTGATCATCCTTATCAACCAGTTATTTGGCTTTCTAGCTGATGATTACTTTTCTCTCATGCAGRCAAATGGTGGGAAAAAATACCACTGTTTTCATTTTGAGGTTATTTCCATGACACATAATCTATATCAATAAGGCATATGTCATTATTATGTCATATAGACCAAGGATCTCTCCATTTGCAAATAATCTTACATTTTTCAATAAGTCCTCCATCTCCTGCTGTTAATTTTATTTCTCAAAGAATTGTTTAAGTCAGATCTTCTAAGAATGGTAGTTGTAAAATAACAAAATGGCCAGATTAAACATAGCCAAAGGATGAGGTGAGCACAGGAAAGGAGAAAGTCTTTGGAGAGTAGGATGGAGACACAATAGCAATGGTCAGCACATTCCTGTTGCAATCTTGCAAATCTTCATGCTTTGCATCTAATTCACCTGAGTTAAGTAACAATCAGTCATTAATTACAGAGAGGATAGGTTAGGAGAGATGGCTTCTTGAGATGATGAAATGGGAATCCTCTTGGGTTTCTCCTTGCATAGCTGTTGATAGTATACAAGGCCATGGTGTCCCCTGTAGGGYAGAACTTCCCTGCAGGCCCAGTTGTTCACAGAGGTCTCATGGGATTTGCTTGGCAATATCTAGGTACAAGGAAGGAGAATGAGTCACAGACCCAGTTGATACAGGGAGGTGGAAGGGCTCAGCCCACTCCAATTAGTATTTCATCTGAATGCAATTGGAGCCTCCTGGGGTTAGTAGGGTCCCAGAGTGAGAGCATCTAAGTGAGTCTGCTTCATTGTGATGAGCTACCCTCCAGGAAGGCTTTTTGGAAAATGATAAAAAAGGCATCCCTAATGGGCAAGAGGGAGGGAAGCTCTGCCAGACTTTCTAACTTTGTTTATGATATTAGGTACAGAGAACAGGTGAGGTTAGTGTTACACCCTGCCCTAGTAGTAAATGGAAAARGACAGAAAATAAAATACCACATTCATTTTGTAGAAAATAGCATGATGTTAGTACTAAGAAGACCAAAGAGAATAGCATAAGGTACAAATATCATAGTTAAGGAGCAATAGGATGGAGGAATTATGAATTAAAACTTGGAAAGATATATTTTTTTCAGTGAGAAGTGAAGGATGAGATGGAGAATATGGTCGTGTCATTGGGGAAAGTAATGGAAGATGTTTTATGGTTCCCAGATGCTAGAAATATATAATAGAGGGTCTAATTTATTTTTTTATTTTTTGAGAATTTAGATGACCTATTTATGAGACAGTAAAAAAAGGAGGTGCTTATTTATACATCTCAGATTCAACCTTTATGATACAAAGGTTGGGAGCATACTAGAAATAGAGTTTAGATCATGAAGGCACTAATAGATYGTATTCCTAATGTTCATGTCAACATCTTAGCATGGCTCTGTCTTGACTGAGTCATAAGATCACACAAGCATATCGTTTGAGCTATACCCAGTGACACAAAAGGATACAGGAAGAAATAAAGGCAAATTATAGACACTGGAAAAAGTAAGTTTTCATTCTCTTTTAAGCTCCTACCTTAAAGATGTGATCCACTAAGTAAAGATGGTCTGAACTTATATGATTGAGGAGATTTATGTGATGTATTTGTGATGAAAGACAAAGCAAATGTCTTGCCTGCAGATAAGTAAAGAGAGTTCAAAAGGCAACCATGTTTTAGAGTCGTCAGCACTATTCAGGGGAAATGCCCCTTACTAGTAGACTTGAATATCTACTCCTTTTTGCGACTTATTTCCTACTGTGGAGGTGAGGCATCTTAGAATTTTAGAGCTAGGAGTGTTGGATTTATCATATATTTTTATTCTTCCAACTCTCTAGAGATAGCAATAAAATGACAACAAAGGGAAAGTTTCATAATAATAATAGGAAGGGGATTCATTAGCAGATGTGATATTTCAGTGAGTTTCCAAGAGACAGAGATAAAGTASTAATAAGATAAAAATTGCTTAGAATACAGGGAATGGATTTCAGTGGAGGAGAGGGCTGATCTTCCTGGCAGCAATCCAAGGCCCAGAGGGAGCCAGTTCAAGAAAAGAGTGAGATGGAGGAGGGGGAAAAGGTGAGAAACATGGGGTGGTAACCAAAATGAACACTACAATACAACTAAGCCAGCCATTCTACAAATGTCCTTCTCTCTTCCCCTAACCTAAGACTCAGATCATGGTAGCCTGCATTTTATCCCAAAGAAAACTTGAAGATTCTTCTCTGGAATGAGAAAGAATTAGGGCTATCAAATTGGCCATTATATCTTAAAGGAAAGTTCTCATTTATATTTGGGATAAATAGCAAAAGGATAAACTCCCCACAAAGTATTAAGTTTTCTTATTCCTGGGAGAGCGTAATATAGGCTCATATATGCAAATACAATTCCATGAGGAGTCGGCACTTACTACCTAACAAGCTACTCCAGTGCACCCAAAATGGCAAATCAGCAGCATCAAAGAGAAATACTGTATGAATAAGAGAAAAACTTGATTCCAGAATAAATTTCAGTCATGCAAGATACAAAGGATAACATAAAAATGTATTTTTTCAGAGAAATGCACCCACAAAACAAGAATAGAATACTCCTGTAAGGAAACACACAAATGATAAAGAGCTCATGGATATGAATGAAACCTGATTGTAARTATAAAAGAAATACTGATGATGGATTACTATGGCTATAATCTGGGGCATAGGCTAGAAAGACAAAGAGAAAACATGAAGAAAAAAGATCAATTAAAGATTAATAAACAGAAAGAGATTTAAAAAGTCCTAGGTAGAAAGTTAAAGAAACTGTACAAAAAAGATCTGAGAGTYGAAGAGGGGCACATATCTTCGTGTTCAAAAGTCTCCTAAATGCATCACAGAATTCATGAAAAACACCTACATGCAACACCATCTTTATAAAGTTTAGGGATGAGAGGAATAAAAATCCTAAAAAATTACCAGGTGGAAACCCAGACAAGGAATAGGAGCCAGACTGGCAGCAGACTTCTCATCATCAACCTTGAATAAGTAATAAGAACCAATGGCTATTATAAATAAGTGTAAAATGAAAAGAACTTTAGACAGGAAAAATCTGAGAAAGATTTATGGCCATGATTACATTATTTGGTAGTTTCTTAAATATATATAAAGAAAAAGTGGATGAAAGCCAGGAATTAAAGAACTAAAATAATCATCAGAAATTGGGGAAATGAGAAGATTGCCAGCACAGCGCACAGATCATACACCATATCCCTGGTAGATGGGGAACTGCCTCAAATCCCAGCCTCAGGTGAAATCTCCCTGCTTTAGGACTCTCCACCAGCTTCAGTGAGGTAACAGAGCTGGACCAGAAGGCACCAATGCCATATCAGTARCATTCCAGGTCCAGTCTACCATCTAACCTGCACTCAGCTAGCAACTCAGCTGACTGGAGCTGAACAGATTAGGACAGTAGGCTAGCTCAAAGATCACGACTTGTACAGCCTGTGCCTAAAGGAGTTCATGACACTGGAGGAAGATGGACCAGACAAAAGATGCCAGAGTGTGGGATCTGTTTTGAGGACTTGTTCATGGGGACCAATTAGATTTCTGCTGGTGCATGAACTTCCATTACCTGGACCTTACAGATGCTGGTTGACGAGCATCTCCTCATTTCCCCAATTTCCTCTGTCCCTCCTGCATGGAGCCAGTTGATGCAGCCCTGTTTTTTTCATGTTTTTTTCACCCAAAGAGAAAATCGAACTAGAGTCTCTCCTCTGACCTCAAGTGAGCCATAATTTTTGGTGGTTTTGATCTCTGTCACTGAGCCAGTGAGCCAGGGATTAGGAATTAAGATCATGAACAAGTTTTCTAAACATKCCTTGATGGCTGCAGATGTTGAGGAAAGTATGTGATATTTTAGAAATTTAAGGGAAAGGGAAAGTAGGATGTATTTTAAAGTAAATCCTTGACCCATTGTTTATTTAGAGCTTATTGTTGCTCTAGTACATAGGAATTGATAAAATGTGACAGCAGTTGTATGTTTAAATCGTGTGTTGAAGATTAGGAAAAAAAAAAATTTTTCCCTAAATGAAAAAAAAAAACAAAAAACTTCTCCCCTCCACCCATTTTTTTTTAAAGTTACTGGCATTTGGATTGAGGTTTTATTATAAACTACATTTTATACTGCAGACACATAAAAAGTAACTTTAAGCTTGTTTGTACAGTTGTTTTTTTCCATTGGAAATGAAATTCATTGCCTTAGGCCATTTTATTTATTTATTGTTATTATTACTTATTGTGAACACTTTGCTCTTTGAATGCTATTTTATCTACATTTCTCAAGAGATTTTAAATTTTAAATTTAATTTAAAAAATTAAATGGCCATTTTAAATGGTGTATTATTATCATTGGTTCTGGCTCTATGCTTGAAAACCAGTTTATTTATAAACTGTGAGTGCTACCTCCTTTTTTTGCAGTTAGGAAATGCAGAATTAAAAAAGATTTTTTATCTGTTCTTTTTAGTTATACATGACAGTAGAATGTATTTTGACATATCATACATACAAGGAGTATAACTTCCCATTTTTGTGGTTGTACATGATGTGGAGTTACACTGATTGTGTATTCATATATGAACATAGGAAAGTTATGTCCAAATCATTCTACTGTCTTTCCTGTTCCCATCCTCCCTCTATTCCACCCATTCCTCCTGGTTTATCTGGTGAACTTTAACTACCTCCCCAACCCCCAACCTGAGTATTGTGAGTCAGCATCTGCATATCCAAGAGAACATTAGGCATTTTGTTTTACAGGATTGGTTTATTTCACTTAGCATGATACTCTCCAGTTCCATCCATTTACTGGCAAATGCCATAAAGAAATAGAGAATTTGAAGTAATCTCCTAGCTTGTAAGCACACTGAGATGCACTATCCCTTTTCTGAAAAAAAAAAAGAGTTAATATGTCAAGAAACCAACCCTATCAAAGTGGGTTTAATATTACCTTTTCCTGTGTACTTGATATAATTATTTTGGTTGTTAATATGGTGATAATTGAAAGTCTAGATAAATTCAAAATACTATAGTTACTGATTTATTGACCTTGATTTATGCCAGCATAAATATATATAAAAATGGAGATGGCACCATCACAAAACTTACTGAGTAGTTTCTCAGTTCTAACATTTTGATTTGTTTTCTTTCCTGTGACCTTCCCTGTTGTCTTGAACCAGAGCAAAAGGATACTTCATCTCGAATTTGCTGTAGTACTGAGGTTATTGGAGTTTTATAAGTACATCCTGGTGTCTGTTTCTTGAAAAGGAGTTAAGTCCTGATAGGTGACTGAAGATTATCCTGAGAGAATAGAGGTAAATATGCTTCAGATTTTGCACAGAAATGAATAATTTGTATAATCAGATGACTTCACAGTTGTGATCTCAAGGAATTTCTCTTTTATTATGTCTTAATGATGTAAGACTACTCTCAATCTTGAAACTTCTGAAGTGTTAGAGATAGAGGTGGTCTAGATGAGATATTACAGTAATGGTTTATATGTTTAACATATAAATTTTTAACATGTTCCTTGGATAAATGTCTTCAGATCCTTTTCCCATTTTTAGTTGAGTTGTTTTCTTCTCTATGTATTCAAAGATGATTTGTTTGTTTAGCTCAATCAGTGATGTTACAGCTAAAAATCTATCATTAGCAAAACAAGAAGCAGTCTCCATCTAACAAAGAAAACAGAAATGTTTCTTATTATTTTATATTGTGCCAAATATTTGGCTTTAACACATTTCTACATGTAAAGCAAAAGTTGTTTTGAGGTTCCTCATAATTGCATTATAGAAAAATTTAATATATTGTAAGTACTTAATTTGACATTCAACAAAGTGATCATTAATTTCTATTATGGAAAGACTCAAAGATGAATCTGACAAAAATTGAAAGAAATAATATTATCAAATTATGTAAAATTGATACATGTATCTTATATCTTCCCAAACTTGTACCATACTGTTTTAAAATTATTTTTATTACATTTATATAAAAATACAGTATTTCATCAAAATTACTTGTATAGCAACATCAAAGTTTCTCTCTTTGTTTTACTTTCCTGATTTGCCTATGGGGAAAACCAATCAAAAAGGCATGAGAATCCCATTCATTGACAGGTTTGATTTTTCATTGAAAATTAATAATTCATAAAGTCTATGATTAATCACTTCTACTTTCATCACAGATAAGTTTGGGAATAGAAAAATCCATACTGAAAGAACAAAATTGAGTTTCTTTTTTTAAAAAAAAATTTATTTGTTATTTTTAGATATACATAACAGTAGAGTCTATTTTGACATATTATACCTACTTGAAAGGGAGGGAGAGGGAATTATAAAAGTATAYTGGATTAGACAAAGGGGAATGAAGGGAAGGGAGAGGGATAGGAATAAGAAAGACAGTAGAATGAATTGGACATAATTTTCCTATATTCATATATGAATAAATGACCAGTGAAAGTCCATATCACATACAACTGAAAAAATTCAGTTTCTTGACATCCAAAGTTAGGACCAAATAGATCTTCACTGCAATGGACCATTGAAGGGTAGAGACTTTGAGATCTGGTTGAGCCTTGATATCATTCTCATCCCTTTCCAACTCTGATCCTCCATCTTTGCAGGTGATGTAAACCATATTTTATGGCCACTAAAAATAGGACAGAAGTGACTGAATTTGTCTTATTGGGCTTGTCCAGCAGGCCAGAAATGCAGCAAGTTATTTTTGGAATAATCCTTGCCATGTACCTGGTTGCAGTTATGGGCAATGCCCTTCTAGTAACTGTTGCTTGCTCAGATCCCAAACTTCATACCCCCATGTATTTCCTTCTCAGCCAGCTTTCCTTTATTGACATATTTCTGACAACCATCACTGTTCCTCAGATGCTTGTGCACACACTATCCACGAATCGAATCATTTCCTATAACTGCTGTATGATCCAGCTGTTCTTCTTTATGGCTGTGGGCAGCATGGAAGGCCACTTGTTGGCTGCGATGGCATATGACCGCTGTGTTGCCATCTGTGACCCCTTAAGATACTCTGCCATTGTCAGCCATCGCCTCTGTCTGCGCATAACATTGACCTCCTGGGTGATTGTYAGCCTTAACAGTCTTCTTTACAGTGTGTTAGTCACACACTTAACCTTCTGTGGCAACCAGGTCACCCACTTCTTCTGTGACATAACTCCCCTGCTGCAGCTCTCCTGCACTCGACCAGTGGTCAATGAAATGCTAATATTCACAGAGGGTGTAGCTGTTGTGGTCAGCCCCTTCTTCTTTATTTTGGGTTCCTATGCCCGCATTGGCATTGCCATAGCCCACATGCACTCAGTTGCTGCCCTGCGCAAAGCTCTGTCAACCTGTAGCTCCCACATTTTGGTTGTGTTGCTCTTGTATGGCTCTGTGATCCGCATGTACCTCCGGCCTTCCTCCAGCTATGACTTGGATCAGGATCGTCAGGTTGCCATCTTCTACACAGTGGTCACCCCTATGCTAAATCCACTAATCTACAGCCTCAGAAACCAGGAAGTTAAAGGAGCTCTGAGAAGACTTTTTAGGAAACTCTGGATCTCAGGAAACTTCCAGCCTGGTTCCTAGGCAAATAGAGAATGGAAACATGTCACCTGAGACCAAAGAGTTATGATCTAACTGAACATGTTTCAGATAGAGTGGTTGTACCCCTAATAACCATATGAATTACCTTCCTATGGAATAATCTTCACTGTTGACCCCCTTGGTTGGATTATGGAAGAAGTGAGGTCATGAATAAATGTTTCTGGTCCCTGTTAACTGATTTAGAATATCATTGGATTGGAAATGAGAAGATACTTAAAAATCACTAAACCTAAGGGAATGGGAAATACTGGGGAATGATATTAACCATATTATAATGTTACATTTTGTGCACTTATGAAAATGTAACAACAAATCCTAATGTATGGACAACTGTAATACATCAATAAAAATGTGGAAAAATGCACTAAATATTCTCTAAGCCTGAATGTCTCATCTTTCAGGAATAATATATAACACAGAGAACTACTAAGCAAAATGAAAACAATCACAGAAATGAAAACAAAGCAGAACTTTGATCATTTTAGTGATGGTTTGTCATTCACTGAATCTAATTTCAACAACCTCTTGACTTACGATAATAACAAAAATCAGATCAATGCTTATAGGTCCTCTCAATATTCTACACATAGATTAATTTAATCACAAAATTTCTGTATTTGAGAGCTGCAAAGATGTCTCACTATGAGACACATCATTTGTCTGGGGTGAATGAAAGTTTACATTAAGGTACCACTTTCCTCAATGTGATTCAAATTATTTTTTTAAATTCACAATACTTGTAATCTCACTATATTAAGAATACTGTTAATGGGATCTATTACCTGAGATGAATTATACATTCAATTATATCCCTTATTACCGTGTGATTAACCATCAGCTTATCACAATGAAAATGGCAATATAAGTTGTTTAAAATATTTTTTTCTATTTCCAATTGTGTTGGAATAAATAATGTTATTAAATGTCATTTTGTAAGATAGCATATGTGTCTGTAGGATAAATTCATAGAAATAGAATCAGAATCTATAGTCATGATTTTGATGGAAGGTCAAATTGTGGAAAACTACAATGATGATGATGTCTATTTTTACATGTTCTTTAAAAGATTTTCTTAATAGAAGAAGCTGTAACAAGAAGGTTATAAAAATGGGCACTGCAATGTTTGGAGAGGACGTGGCTAGGGCATTTGAGGAATAGAGAAAATTCAGACCATGGGGAGCCCGGGAAGGTTATGGGTTTGTGAATTATTGAGGATCTAGAGTATATAAGCATCTTCTGACATAATGGAAAATTTCATTGTATTCTCAGGGCAATAGTACACCCAAGAAAAAAATTTCAGCAAAGAAATGACTGACAAATTTAAGTWATTTATAGTTTACTGAGTAGAGATCAGACTGGAGGGATAGAAGGAATTTACCTCAACATTGTAAAGGCTATATATGACAAACTCAAGGCCAACAGCATAGTGAATGGGAAAAAAAAATAGAACACATTTCCTCTAAAAACAAAAAACAAGACAAAGATGTCCACTCTCATCTCTCCTATTAAACATGGTTCTTGAAACTCTAGCTAGAACAATCAGGAAAGAGAAGGAAATTAAAGAGATAGAAATAGGAAACTAGGAGCTCAAGTTGTCTGCTTGCTGCTAGTATCATCCTATATCTAGAAGATCCAAAAAACTCCACCTGAAGACTTCTAGAGCTAATGAACAAATTGAACAAAGAAAGGGGATATAAGATACACATAGATAAATCAATTGCTTTCCTGTACTCCAATAATCAATCTACTGAAAATAAATTGGGAAAACTATTCCATTCATAATAATCTCAAAAAATAAAATAATTTGGAATTACTCTAAACRAAGACATGAAAAACTTCTGYATAACAGTGAAGAAAGAAATTGAAGAAGACTTTATAAAATGGATAGACCTCCCATGTTCTTGAATAGACAGAATTAATATTTTCAAAATGACATACTATCAAAAGTTTTATACAGATTCAAAATACCAATGGCATTTTTCACAAATAGAAAAAGCAGTCCTAAAATTCATTTGGAAGAATAAAAGACCCATGGCAGTATGTAAAAAAGTGGATGTGTAACCGATGTGATTCTACAATCTGTATACGGGGTGAAAATGGGAGTTCATAATCCACTTGAATCAAATGTATGAAATATGATATGTCAAGAGCTTTGTAATGTTTTGAACAACTAATAATAATAATAATAATAAGAAGAAGAAGAAGAAGAAGAATAAAAGACCCAGAATAGTCAATACAATACTGATCAAGAAGAAGATGCTGGAGGCATCACAATACTTGCTCTAAAATTATACTACAGAGCTATAATAACCAAAACAGCATGGTATTGGCACCAAAACAGACATGAAGACTAAGAGAAGACAGCTACTCACATAATTACAGTTTTAACTGACATAGTTACAGTTATCTGATACTGAAAAAAGATCCAAAAACATATGTTGGAGAAAAGATATTTTTTTAACAAAAGGTGCTGGGAATATTGGTTATCCATATGTAGTGGATGAAACTAGATTCCAATCTTTCATCCCACACAAAAGTCAACTCAAATTGGATCAAAGACATGGGAATTAGAGCAGACTCTGCAACTGCTAGAAGAAAACAGACTCAATATTTCAACATATTGGCATATGCATTGT